TTGGAATTGGGGTGACATCTAGAGGCTGGAAATCGATATCCGACGCCATCTTGAAAGTCAAGATGGTGGCTTATGATTTCAGAAAAAGTATCAAAACCCTACAAATGGCGTCGAATATCGATTTTCAACATCTACGCGTTGTTCCCGTTCCGAAAATGCCCAGATCTTAGGGTATTTGACACTTTTTCTGAATCCTGATGGCCGCCATATTGGATTCCAAAATGGCGTCGAATATCGATTTTGGCATCTACGCATCGTCCGGATAGAAAAACACTGTATATCTGGAGTAACATTTGAAATGGGTCTATGTCCAAAACGTAAACAAACCAGAAAATGAATTTTAAATTTTTCCGCCACTATTCAATTCATAATCAAGCAAATTGAAGTATTTTAGGCATTTATATAGTTCACAACAACAATAGTAACTGTATCTCAGTATACAACATCCAAAATATGCGAAAAGCTTTCAAAAATATATGAAAATCGATAACAATTTAATTTCATAAATTAATGAGCCTTTCAATGAGGATAGGCCCTTTTTGTTAAGCCGTTGTGCTTGTCTTCGGAAATGGTACGCCTTTTGCTAAGCCTTTTCGCAACGTCAAATAAATTCAAAACAAATCATCGGCCCTGCCTCAAAGCAGTAGGGCCAACAATCAATACGAAACTAACGATTTTAAATTGGCTCACTACTTGACTAGCCTATTGGTCCCAAGCAAACGATTAACGTATCCCATTCTAGTCGAAATTCTAGTACTACGCAATGTTTGTTTTGATTCGCTATGAAAGTTTGACAGATAAAATGAGGGGTTATTGGTTTTTCCTATGTTTCGAGGGGTGAATCGATTAGCTTGGGACCGAAGAGAGTACCAGCATAGAGGTAACTCTAAGACCACTGGGTCCCGAAGAAAATCATTATTATTTTTGGCTCACTCAGTACCAGAACAACGGTCCCAAGCAGTCCCAAGCTATTTCACTCACCCCTGCATGTTCTGCATGAATCCACACACACCCCTGATGTTATCTGTCAAACTTTCATAGCGAATCAAAACAAACATAGTGTAGTAATAGAATTTCAACTAGAATAGGGTACGTTAATCGTTTGCTTGGGACCAATAGGCTACTAAAGTGGTGAGCCAATTTAAAATCGTTAGTTTCGTATTGATTGTTGATAGTACTTAGTATATATGGTGTAAAGACACCATATACGCCCTCAGGAAAACTCTACTGGCCTAAAGGAGGATCCGGAACGACCGATAAAGTGGCCACATTATAAAAAATGTCCTAGAACCTTGCGATTTTTTCTATGTTGTTCAGAATCAAGAGATCAAAGCGAATTTAATAAAGAATTGAAATTTTGGGGTCAAGTGGCCATATTCTGGTTCTCCGGATAATCTGTATTGACCGATAAAGTGACCACGTTATAAAACATGTCAAACAGAATCAAGATATCAAAGCGTATTTAACATGGAATACATATTTTGAAATACAGTGGCCATATCCTGGTTCTCCGGATAATCTGGATTGACCAATAAAGTAGTCACATTATATACATTGTTCTAGAACTTTTGTTTGTTCAGAATCACGAGATGAATGCGTATTTCATATGGAATTTATAGTTTGGGATCAAATGACCATATCCTGGTTTTCCGAATAATCCGGGTAGACCGATCAAGTAGGTCGTATAATCTAAACTGTTCAGCATTTGTCTACCGCAAAAGTTGGGAAAAAAATTCAATTTGAGTTATGTATTGTGATACGTGTAAAATTAAAAGACTTATCTAGGCCTATCCGGGCCTCTAAAAAAACGATATTCATTCCTTGTCTTCTTTGTCACTGTAAATATCAGAATCACACAAACTCGCGCTGTCGTATTCCATGTCGTCGCAATCTTGCTCACCATTTATTTCCCCTTCATCTTCTACTCCGCTATCCAGGACTGTTTACACGTTATGACAACTTCTACGGTCAATCCAGATTTTCCAGAGGATATGGCCACTTTACCCCAAACTTTAAATTCGCTTTGATCATGAGATCATGAGATCAGATTCTGAACAAACATAGAAAAAATATCGAAAGGTTCTAGAACAATTTTTATAATGTGACTACTTCATTGGTCAATCAAGGTTATCCGGAGAATCAGGATATGGCCACTATATTCCAAAATACGTATTCCAAGTTAAATACGCTTTGATTTCTTGATTCTGAACAACATAGAAAAAATCGCAAGGTTCTCTAGGACATTTTTTATAATGTGGCCACTTTATCGGTCGTTCCGGATCGTCCTTTAGGACAGTAGAGTTTTCCTGAGGGCGTATATGGTGTCTTTACACCATATATACTTAGTATCAATTTCCAGTAATATACGTTAAGTAAAGTCTAAAATTATGTCGATAGATAGTGGCATTTTCTACATTACCGGCAACTCGGGTTGATCCCGGCCCTCTATCTTGGTACGCAAAAGTCTCCGGCCAATGAGACCACCACCAATCGATTCAGGAGAGTTTTTCCTTTGAGAATATGTATAACATGTTGACTGAAACCGTTTGGCAGCCGAGATATTCAATTTAGTCGTGGTTTTGTCATTTTTTCCCCATTGTGCTCTGGTGGTGAATAAGAGAACTTCAAAAAGAGTGATGTGATCAGAAATTTCTGAAGTGAGAAGGAAGAAGCGGAACACTTTTTCACTATTCCTGATAAATTGATTTATCTGAGATGCTCCAAAACTTGATCTACAGTTCAAAAATTTAATTCTGTATCGTTTTTGCACAGATCCTGCTGATGTTCAGGAATATGTTTGTTGAGAAAAATGAAAAATTAGAATAATGCCTTAGTGGTTATGATCTTCCGGATTAGTTGTGCGTGAATAGTTGAGGTACAAATCAGTTCAGATCTGTGGAAAATCGTAAAATTAGACAATTTGCGTTGTGAAAAATCCTTACTCTGATGTAAACAAACGGTTTGGTTGGCATTTCCTCTCGAACTAGCGTGGCGCACTCTACGTTGGTGGTGCATTATAAAGACCTATAGACATGAGCTGGAAGCTGAAAGTAGAAACGGACACAAACCACATTGAATATAATATCCTTCTTCGTCCAATCTTCTTGATGTTAAAGCGTGACCTGTAGGCAATTTAAGGCACATCTTCGACATTGTATCATAGAGGTAACTCTAAGACCAGAAGGTCCCGAAGAAACGAGCTCAACTTTTTGGCTCAGCTCTGGTACCCTCTTCGGTCCCAAGCTAATCGATGCACCCCTCGAAACATTGGAAAATCCACGAACCCCTCACTTTATCTGTCAAACTTTCATATAGCGAATCAAAACAAACATTGTGTAGTACTAGAATTTCGACTAGAATGGGGTACGCTAATCGTTTGCTTGGGACCAATAGGCTAGTCAAGTGACAAGTAGTGAGTCAATTTAAAATCGATAGTTTCGTATTGATTGTTGATTGTATCGCTGTAGATGGAGAATCACGAGAAACTTATGAAAAGGGTTTTTTTTTCTCGAGAAAATACTAATTTTCTAAACATTATTTCTACAATATCTTAAAAATGGCTACCTTACATTATTTTTTTCAGCAAGATCATTTTGATTTGTTATGACCTAAAGAATCACATTCAATTATTGTAATATTCTTATTCATTCTAATTCATCGAATTTGAAAAATTCGTCAAAAGTTTTTCTTCCAGGAACTTTTTTTTATTTGACATTACTCCATCTTGGATAAACCTTTATAAATTGTCTTATGACATAAGGTCATCTCAGAAAAACAATGAAAAAAATCATACGTTAGAATGTAAAGAAATCCACATTTAATATTTTTTTTATTTAACTATTTTTTTCAGTGTATATTTTTTCCCTTTATAAAGTCCAATCAATTTACTACAACTTCTTCTCAGACTCAATTTTGATACAGTACGGTTTTAGAGTTAGGATTTTTTTGAAAAATCCACACCCTTTTCAAAAATTAGTCTTGAGTCAAAATTGTATCGTTATCTGTGGAAACATCATAATTTCCCACACTGAAGACATGCTGAAAGTTTCATCGACATCGGAAGGGCTCGTACCAAGTCGTTTGCTCATTTGATAGAGAATATTGCTCTAACTACAGACCCACAGGTCACCAGTTATCCAAAATAATAATCTATGTCTCACTTTTGGGTTTATCATACTGTTGTAGACCATGCTTGGTCTCGTACTTGTAATGTTACTTGGGGTATTTATGGGGAAAAAACCGGGTATTTAAATTCCTCAATGCAGTAGCTACCCTAACTGTGTTCCGGGTCCATTGCTATAAAAATCTCGAATATCCAGTTGCCAACAGAAAGTCTATTTACCCTAATTAATTAAACTTCTCGCAAGCTCCCTATGAACGAGGGCCTGGCCATAAACCAGGTGGGCCATTCTAGGAGAGGGACATATATTCTTTAGATATAAACTTAATTATTTTTCACGCAGGCGGCCGTGCCTTCAAAAGTCCTCCGAAATTGTTAACGTGATGTATGAATGGCCCTCAAACATTTACGCACACTTTACCACCCACCACCCCATCCCGACCAATACCCACAAATCTTCAAGCGGACGAAATTTTGTGCGGGACTTTCTCATTTTTCAGCCCTGTTGGAAAATCCTTACGATCGGCACCCCCTGTGTGAGAGTGTGTGTGCATGCAGTGGGGTGGGTGGTACTCTACTCACTCACAAACACACCCAACCAAAAGGAGAGCTTTGTGCGTTTTCACCTCCCAGGATGGCAGTAGGGAAAATTTTCGCATCTTCTCTCCGGGATTCGGGAAAAGCACAAACGCGCGCGGCAGGCGGCGGCCGGTGGGTGTGTGTCGCTGTAGTAGTGCCGTGTGGTGATGCCAAAGGAACAGTATGCCGGAATCTCCCCCCCGTCGTCGTCGTCGTCGTCGTCGTTGTCGGTCGTTTGTGTATTGGAGGAAGTGAGTAGCAATCGAGTAGCATACTATCGAGGAGCAGCAAGGAGGCGTAAGAATTGTTTCTCCAGTTGAGAACTTTTTCGGCGCTCGCCAGATCGACGGCACAAGGTAGGTAATCTTCCGAAAAAGATGGATTTTCCGGTGAAATTCTCGATGGGATTTTCTTGAAAAATGGCGGACGTTGAAGGTGAATGATAGTGGACTGAAGTGTGATTGGAAAATGTTTGAAAATGTTGTTATCTGTGCCGGAAATGCGCCTTTGAAAAAAAAAAAAAACGAACTGGCTCGTCGGCGTGGGTGAGATGAGATGAGAGTCCAATGGCGTCCCCGTGCTTTTTCAACAGTGAAAAAGAAAACTAAGAAAAGTGATGCTGTCCGATGTGAAACTTTCGCAAAATGTTAGATAACACCATTTGTAATCGGGAAAAGTTTTATTTTGTCTAATTTCAGTGCAATAGAAGTACCCAGGAAATACCACTCAGGAAGGCAAAATGTCGGACACAGAGGTCGTTGAACCGAAAAAGGGTCGAGGCCGCCCTCCAAATCCCGAAAAGGTACCTCTACCGCTCCAGCACCCGCCCAGGTGTGGAAAGCTTGTTCGATAGAGTAATCAACTTTCGCTTTTCTTTTTTTCGTTTTGGATTTTCTCCCACCCTCTCATCCTTGTAGCAGAACAGCGTTGCTCCGAAAAAGCGAGCCCGCGCCGTCTCGCCAAAGGATAAGGCCGAAGAGAAGGAGAAGGACAAGGACAAGGCAGTAGTGTCGGACGAGGAACCATCGCCGAAGCGCGGCCGGGGAAGACCGAAGGTGGCGGCAAAAAAGCCCGCCAAGGCCAAAAAGCCGGAAGCCAAAAAGGGCCGCGGCAGAGGCAAGAAAAAAGCGGAATCCAGCGAGGATGAGGACGACGACGACGACGATGAAGACGAAGAGGACGAGGAGGAGAACGATAGCGAAGACAACGAGGAGAACGACGACGAATCGGACTCCTAAACTATCTCTAATCCCTAATCCTTAAGTACGATTAATTCCAAAGTCAACACAAAATGGTATTATAATTAAGCCACCGTAAGTTCAGAGTACGAATTCCGTTTCACTCTTCATCACAAAATACAAACTCCACACAAAAATTAACCATAAGAAGCGAAACAAACAGAAAATGCACAGTGTGTCAAAGAGGAGAACATTTATCGAAGAAATAAATCTACACAATAAAATTTAAAAAAATAACAGCACGTAACGAAGTTTCAATGTGACAAAAATGGTAGATAGCTGTTTAGTGTGTGAAATGCAAAATTAACCGTTTTTTTTTAAATAAAAAGCAGAATCTGCCGTTTCCCCGCACCTTGCGGAGCCGCACGTCTTCGTAGTGTAGGAAAGTACCGATTCAGACGAAATTGGCATCCAAAATTGCGATGCTACTATTCTTGGTCCGAATTGGCAATACGAAGAACGAATAAGTGCAGCAGCAGCACCGAAGGACAAACGGGGACAACAGCAAATATGATCAAACAACACATTTTAAAAACCCAGAAAATATCCTTTCGGCATTAGTGAAGTAAAGATAAAATAAACACAACTGAGTTGCAGCAGATAAATCAGAGGTTGAAAAATGTGTCGTTTTTTTTTTTTGGAGAAAGAAATTTCCTATAGACATGTAGAAGCCGATTTAGTGGACTGTTTACACTTATACTAGTTCAGTAGCTCAACCACTTAGTGCGAATTTCAGTTGTTCCTGAAATCTCATGCTGGTAGATCCTGACACCCTTTCGTTAGTTTGGCTGAGCTGTCAAGCAGAAAATTAAAGGAGCGATACACCGATTGTTCATTGTAATTGTAATTGTTCAGTGTATAGGCTGTGCCAACCGCTAAGTTGGCTTATCTAGGGACCAACCCCCTAGTCTATACACCTACTGTCCTTCCCGTTGCACTCGTCAGCTCGTGCGATTCTCTAGACACACATGGGTGGTCGTATCCGGGTCCTCCCCTGGGTAGGCTCGTGTCCGTCCAGGTTCTGGTACATTAACTTATATGTATGCATGGTAATTATACTTTACAACTCACCTTTTGATTATAAATGTCGATAATGCTGAAACTATATGAATGTTAGTGATCATTATTAGGTGTGTGCTGCAATGGAGTAGTAATTGAAGGAAATGAGGTTCTCATGTGGCTTATAGGTAATTCTAAAATAGGTAAATCATGCAAGCACACACCTTTTACAATTCTTATCCTACTTACCAGTTCCGTCCAGTATAAATTGGCTGTTTCCAAATGGCCTAATCCTTTCTGACTGCTTACTCTCTTACGTTTTCTCGCTTTTTTCCTTCTTTCTATTGAAAATCTGGCCGTGTTCCCATTTGTTCTCAGGTAGGTAATATTGGTACATGAGAGGAAGAAAGAAAGAGAACAAGTTAAGTGTGAGTTGCATGCGTTGGTTAGTCGTTTGGGTCATGGTGTTGTGTTCCCTATTTTATTTGCCTCTATTCAGCTCTCAGATTGCCAGCCCCCCCCACCCCCCCAAACTATTGTGGATGAGAAAAAGAACCAATATTTGGTAACCTCTCGCGAGCTGCAATGCATAAGATATGAATAACAAACAAATCTAGAACGGGGCTTAAACATATAACATTTTCTAAGACTGAACATGATTAGTATAGTATGAATAATGAGAATTGTACGAAGAAAAGACGATCCCAAAAGAAAGTTCCCTAGCAATAAAACTATTACTCTGTGCTAATATAAGTTATTTCAAAATGGGCATCCATACTCAGAAACTATACCCGACCTCAACAAACTGTACCGAAATCAGAACAGCTAAACTACTCGGTAAGATTTTGGCATTTCTATTTAATTGTATTAAGCTATCTCACAGAGACCAGACGTCCAAGTTCGGACAGAAACTTGTGTAAAGTTAAGTGGAAACGTTGCCGTTACGTAGTGCTAGCATCTCCTGATTTCCTCTATGAATTTATCACTTTCGACCAATTTGGCGCTAGTACCGATAAATTACCTGCTGAAAATTGCAACTTGGTGCTACCAGCACTTAGTGTCTACTGTAAGTTTTGCAACGCCAGCGCCATCATGTTGTCAAAGAGGGTTTTTAAGTGGGGAAGTCGTCGTTAGTGGCGCTTAAGTCGAATAGGAATCTTTACACAAGTTTTTAGCGACATTTTGGAGCCTCAACGCCTGTTCTCTGTGGCTGTCTTATATCGAGCTCTTTTCAATAATTGCAACATGTGAATAATTCGGAACAAGTTTAAAATTGTTCTAGAGCCAAATTGGTTTTGAAGAAAGGTCAAACTACAAAGAAACAGCTCAGCCACTCTGAACCCTATGCAAATTATGCTTTCCCAATATGGTACATTCTCTCACTATGAACATGTCATTTCCAGCCTATCTGAACTATTTAATAAATGGAAACCATAACATGGGTTACGCTTCCCCTAAGCGGGCCCTCCGCATCCTATCTCTGTCTTATCTCAAATGCCGATGGTTTGAATGTATCAATATATACATTGGAAATGACGTTCAATCAAATAAACCCATACCTCACTCACTTGGTCAGGCTTCAGAATCGTCCAGTGGGCAGTGCGCTCTACACTCCAAGTTCCCTTTCTTTCAAATTCACCCCAAATTTGATATTTTACCCCTTTGAGTGTTGATTAATCACAATGAAACATTGTGACAGAGCACGGACTTGAGGTTACTAGAGTATTAAATAATCTAGGTCCTATTTAGGATTATATCCGAAAAATCCAAATTTGGCCAACGCCCACCAAGGAGCGATACACCGATTGTTCATTATCATCAAAATCTTTTAGCAACTTTCCAAATTGTTCATCCATGGGCCCCTCGAAATGGAATCAGCACTGTCAGAAATGACGTTCGACTCAGATTATGGTAGGCTACATCCCAACTAAAACGGAGCCCTCTTAAAGATAGCCCAACGAGCGAAATTCGACTGAACTTTGGAATAGATAGGGAGTTGCCTTAGCATTCTAATTTATTTTTGCAACATAGTTTGATAAAGGTGGTTTTTATCTAGCGTTCAAAACATCAAACAAACCAGGCAATATTGTTGCAACCGAGTTATTCACAGAAGAGAAAGTTGATGAAGGGAATCGGCCAAGGCAGGTACAGAGTATAGAGTAAATTCCTGGATTCGAACCAGAGATGCCAGATCTACGGAAATCTCCGTAGATCTACGGATTTTACAATTTTTTGCGGAAATACGGATCCGTAGGTAAAATCTACGGAATTCGGTACAGTTTCTACGGATTTTTTTCTTCAATGTACGTTTCCCTTCAGAATCGAATTTTACAATCTGATTCTGAAGGCAAAGAAGCATAAAATAAAATACACCTCTACAACTTGTCAACCGTTTTCTTGCTCACTTATCCACTTTTTGAGTAAACAAACGTCAGACTGTGCGTGAAACATGGCGGCCTTCGTACTATCATAGAGGTAACTCTAAGACCACTGGGTCCCGAAGAAAATCATTTTTATTTTTGGCTCACTCAGTACCAGAACAACGGTCCCAAGCAGTCCCAAGCTATTTCACTCACCCCTGCATGTTCTACATGAATCCACACACCCCTGATGTTATCTGTCAAACTTTCATAGCGAATCAAAACAAACATAGTGTAGTAATAGAATTTCAACTAGAATAGGGTACGTTAATCGTTTGCTTGGGACCAATAGGCTACTAAAGTGGTGAACCAATTTAAAATCGTTAGTTTCGTATTGATTGTTGGTACTATCTCTTCACTCCGTCGAAAGTTCTCATAATATACCAGCCCAGTGGCAGGCACGTAGGCAGCATGTTATACCGTGACAGCGGGCCCAAAACAGCAAAATAAATTATTTGAGCCCGTTTGCCTACTGTCAAACGCTGCTGTTGGTATAGGCCTTGTCACTGGCCTGTAATATACAGTCAATCTTTGCATGAAGAGAAACATTTTCGACGGTGCCGTGTGAAGGCGAATAAAAGTCATGTCGAGACCAGTCTTGTAAGCGGTCACCGTAGTCGACACATTTTCTGTGATAATCGACTGCCTTTGCTTCCGACACTTGCAAAACAAGCTTTCAAATTACAGTACCAAACTAAAATGTCATACGACACTGTCGCCGAACACCATCACGGATGTAAGTATTTTAGTTTTTCTCATAATAAGAGCTGCTGGTGTTTTGCTTGTGCAAGCAACGATGTCATAGTAATAACATAGAGGTAACTCTAAGACTAGAAGGTCCCAAAATAACGTGCTCAACTTTTTGGCTCAGCTCTGGTACTCTCTTCGGTCCCAAGCTAGTCGATTCACCCCTCGAAACATAGAAAAATCGAATAACCCCTCATTTTATCTGTCAAAATTTCATAGTGAATCAAAACAAACATTGTGTAGTACTAGAATTTTGACTAGAATGGAGTACGTTAATCGTTTTGCTTGGGACCAATAGGCTAGTCAAGTAGTGAGCCAATTTAAAATCGTTAGTTTCGTATTGATTGTTGGTAATAACCTTTTTTGATCAGAAATGGTTTAATTTACACAAAATTGAGGAATTAGAACGAAATCGCATATGTCATAGAATAGTCATTTGATTATTTTCTTTTTGCTCGAATGTTGTTCTACCGTTTGCGTTATGTAAGAGAGACGACGCTCTCTTCCCCGTCAGCTCGATGATGATCAGGCCTTCAACGTGTTCATCAAAAAGCATTTAATCCATAAGTCGTCGTACTTGTCCGGCTTTATAAAGGAAACTACGATTAAAGCGTGGCTTTCTTGTTAGAGTACGACAGCACTGTACCACCGCTACGGGATCACAATTGATCAGATCGCCATAGATGGTCTTGAAACCCCTGTAGTGGATAATGAGACAGAATCGCTGCTTGGGCAACAGGAAACGCTCCTTTAGAATGAGAACAAATGCCTGGAGATCGCTCCCGCGCAAAACACGGTTCCTCTGTCTTTAATATATGACGAGCACGGCGAAAAGATAGCTTTTCCTGCCATTTGTTTCGGCCATCTACGGAAATTCAAGCCAGTGGTTCGGGTGACATATTTCATGATGTCATCCAGTGAAACTCGTCGTCAAGACAGGCGTGTGGCCAAACCACATTTGTTGTATATGACAATGAAAGTTCTTCGGCTTAAAGTTTCCGAAGGCTTGCAATGTACTTTTAAGTGCACGGCGACCGAAAACATTACACGTGGACTTTAAGGACCGCATTATTCATGGAGCAGTGCATTGAGCGAAATCTATC